AATATTCAGTATTTGTGTGAATTACATCAATTGCCTATGCCAGAAAATATAATACCCTAACAAGCAGACAACCTTTCTCAGATATTTGCATCACCTTTGAAAACTTATTTACTTACACACTGGGCTGTAGCAAATGTATCAGTCTAGCAAAATTTCATACTGTTGATCTATTTAATAAAACTCTATTACATGTTTCAAAATATAGTTACATTTTAATTTGTAATCACAAGGGTAATTTCCCTAAAGTCATCCTAGTCTCTTAAATATAACAAACAGTTGAAACACAAAATACACAGAGATTGTCCGAGCAATAAACATTTTTATCCACAAAGCTAAAAGTGTTAGGGCTCTAGCTTTGATTACTCTCATTTATTTCTGTTCACTTTCTCTTATTTCTGACAGATATATCTTCTTTGCCATCTCAACCATCCTTCTAAAATTCCGTCCCTGTTATGTTGTGTTGGACGATACTTGTGGTATTTTTCCGGGGCTCTAGAAGAAGATCTAGATGCTATCTTCTTTGTAACCCATTCTCTGCTGGAACATTACATGTTTCTCCACACTGTTTCAGTAGTTTCCTACCTGCTTCAGTAGCTTCAGTGACTCTCCATCCCCAGTTTATGGAGTCAAAATTCTGTATTCTCTGATTGATGTTATTGGACTGTCTTCTCTGCTAAATTCTTCACGCATATTCTATGTTTCTTTTGCACTGGACAAATGCATGGTGCCCATATAGTCATACTCTTCCCCATCCATCCATCTTGTATTTGTTTGAGTAATGTTAACTGTTGTGACAAAGAGACCCCAAAATATATAATGGCCCAAACACAGTAGAAGTTTGTTTGTGGATCATATTGTGGTGTTGACCACATGAAAAGACCAACACAGCAGTTCTCATAGACCCTGGTTAGGTGCTTAAAGACCTTGGCTGGCAGAGAGGGTGCCATCTTTAACATTTGGCTTCCAAGGTGGCCCTGGAAGTTGTCTCCAGCCAGCTAGACAGAAAATAAAAAGAACTTGGAGGAAAAGGCAGTAGGGAATTAGATGAGCCACACCTGCGAGTAGCTATTACTTCCACTCACATACTTGGTCATGAAGAAACACCACCCTGCAAGCAGACCTGCCCAGGATATGAGGAACAACTAGTGTTCTCTACTATGTCTTTCTTCATCTTTGAATGCTTTTCCCCTCCTTGGCTATGCTGAACTCTGAATCATTACTTATGGTTTGGATCCAGTGCTAGACTTTCTTTAATTCTTGCTTGCTAACACCATTTGTAAATGATCTTTTCATAGATAAACAGATATAGATAGATTCTCCATGTGTATATATACATATTTATATGTGTGTGTATATATATATGTATGTATATCTATACACACACACACACACACACACCCCTGCAAACACACTGTATCTCCTAAAGCTTGTGACTTATAAGGGTAGGGGCTGGAAGTCATCCATCTCTGTCTTCCTCATGTTGCATAATCTAGCAATGCATACTGTTAACTATTTTGTAAATAGTTGCTGTGGTAGTTAATTTTGTGTGTCAGCTTGACTGGGCCACAGGGTTCCCTTTGCTTAAACATTCTGGTGACTGTGAGGGTGTTTCTGGATGAGAGGACCATTTAAACCTATAGACTAAGTAAAGAAGAGTGTCTTCCCCAATGTGGGTGGGCTTCATCCAACACACAAAGAATAGAACAAAAATGCATTTGAAGGCCTGAATAGAAGAAAAGGTCAAGTAAGAGAGAATCTCTCTGACTGGCTTTGAGATGGGGCATCAATATTTTCCTGCCCTCAAACCTTAACTGAAACATAGGCTCTTCCTGAGTCTCAACTCTGCCTGCCTTTAGACTTGAACTATATCCTTGGCTTTCCTGGTCCTCAGGCCATTGGACTCAGACTACCATTGGCTCTCCTGGGTCTCTAGCTTGCCAAGTATGGGTGTTGAGACTGACAAATCCCAAATTCCATAACACACGAGTCAATACCTTATTTTTTTTGTGTCAAATATTATTTCTTTAGCAGTGTTTTGTAGTTCTCCTTGTAGATATTTTTAATCTCCTTAGGTACATGTATTCTTAAGTATTTCATATTTTTTGTGGCTATTGTTAATGGGATTGCATTTTTGATTTGGCTCTCAACTTGAACATCTTTGGTGTATAGAAGTGCTACTGATTTTTGCACATTGATTTTATATCCTGAAACTTTTCTGAAGTTGTTTATCAGATGTAGGAGGCTTTTAGCAGAGTCTTTAGGGTTTTTTAGGTATAAAATCATGTTGTCAATGAAGAGAGATAGTTTGACTTTTTATTTTCCTATTTGGATGCCTTTTATTTCTTTCTTTTGCATGATTGCTCTGGTTAGCACTGAAACAAGACAAGGATGAACTGTCACCATTCCTGTTCAACACAGTAAAGGAAAAACATTTCGTATAAGGGCATGGTTAGTTTACTTCTTCAGGATAAACAGAGATTACTGTATACAAAACTGAGTAAATTCAAAGCAATAACTATGGCTAGAGAAACTGGTGCATTGACTTTTAAAAAGCAACAGTATTACTCAATGAACTTTGTTTACACACCACACACACACACACACACACACACACACATAATCACATGATTCAATACCATATATATATATATATATATATGATTTATATACATATGACATATATATATGACAGTGGGCATCCTTGTCTTGTTTCAGTGCTAACCAGAGCAATCATGCAAAAGAAAGAAATAAAAGGCATCCAAATAGGAAAATAAAAAGTCAAACTATCTCTCTTCATTGACAACATGATTTTATACCTAAAAAACCCTAAAGACTCTGCTGAAAGCCTCCTACATCTGATAAACAACTTCAGAAAAGTTTCAGGATATAAAATCAATGTGCGAAAATCAGTAGCACTTCTATACACCAAAGATGTTCAAGTTGAGAGCCAAATCAAAAATGCAATCCCATTAACAATAGCCACAAAAAATATGAAATACTTAAGAATACATGTACCTAAGGAGATTAAAAATATCTACAAGGAGAACTACAAAACACTGCTAAAGAAATAATATTTGACACACAAAAAAATGGAAAAACATTCCATGCTCATGGATTGGAAGAATCAGTATCATTAAAATGGCCATACTGCTTACAGCAATCTACAGATTCAATGCTATTCCTAGTAAACTACCAATGTCACTTTTCACAAACTAGAAACACTATGTTAAAATTCCTATGGAACCAAAAAAGAGCCTGAATAGCCACAACAATTTTGAGCAAAGCTAGAGGCATCACATTACCCGACTTCAAACTATAAGGCAACAGTAACCAAAACAGCATGGTACTGGTACAAAACAGACACACAGACAAATGTAACAGAATTGATAACCCAGAAATAAACCTGCTCACCTACAACCATCTGATCTTCCAACAAAGTCAACAAGAATAAGCAATAGAGTAAGACCCCCTATTAAATAAATGATGGTGGGATATGCAGAAAATTGAAACTGGACTCCTCCATTTTATCATATAAAAAATTAACTCAAGTTGGAGTAAAGATTTAGATGTAAATCCTCAAACTCTTAAGAATCCTAGAAGAAAACCTGGGAAACATTATTCTGGTCATCAGCCTTGGGAAAGAATTTATGGCTAAGCCCTCAAAAGCAACTGCAACAAAACCAAAAATTGACAAGTCAGACCTAATTAAAGTAAAGGATTTCTGCACATCAAAAGAAACTACCAACAGAGTAAACCAAAAACTGACAGGACGAGAAAAAAATAGGCAAATTACACATCTGACAAAAGTCTAATATTCAGAATCTATAAAGGAACTAAAACAACAAGCAAAAAAGAAATAACCCCATTTAAAAATGGGCAAAAGATATGAACAGACATTTCTCAAAAGAAGACATACAAGTGGCCAACGAACATGAAAAAGTGCCCCACGTCACTAATCATCATCAGAGAGAAATGCAAATCAAAACCACAAGGTGGTACCATCTCACACCAGTCAGAATGGCTATTATTATAAAGTTAAAAAAAACAACAACAACTGTGTTTTACTCATAGCTAAGTGAGAAAAGGCAAAGCTATGGAGAAAAGGGGACACTTACACACTGTTGGTAGGAATGTAAATTAGTTCAGGCACTGCAGAAAGCAGTTTGGAGATTTTTCAAAGAATTTAAAGCTTAACTACCATTCAACCCAGCAATCTCATTACTGGATACATATCCAAAAGAAATCAAATTGGTCTACCAAAAAGACACATGCACTCACATGTTCATCGCAGCACTGTTCACGATAACAAAGAATCAACCTGAGTGCACATCAACAGTGGATTGGGTAAAGAAAATGTAGTACAGATACACCATGGAATACTAGGCAGCCATAAAAAAAGAATGAAATCGTGTGTTTCACAGCAACATGGATGTAGCTGGAGTAAGCTTCTACTTATAAGTAGAAGCTAAGCATTGAATACTCATGGACATTAAAAATGATAATAACAGAAACTGAGGACTACTGTAGGGGAGTTGGGGAAAGGAGTGAAAAACTCACTATTGAGTGCTATGTTCACTCAGTACCTGGGTGATGGGCTCATTCATACCCCAAACCTTAGCATCACACAATATACCCAGGTAACAAACCTGTATATGTACACCCTGAATCTAAAATAAATGTTGAAAAATATTTTTAAAAAATAAAATTTTTTCCAACCTTTAGAGTATGTCATCAACTTTCTTCTCTGTGCTCACAAAGCATTTTATATGCCTTAAGGATATACATTATTTTACATTTTATGGAATTCTTACTAATACTGTGAATCATAACATGGTAACACCTATGACATTGTGATGCCACAGCTGTTTCCAGAAAGTTTGTTATTTGGTGCCCGCTTCGGCAGCACATATACTAAAATTGGAACGATACAGAGAAGATTAGCATGGCCCCTGTGCAAGGATGACACGCAAATTTGTGAAGCGTTCCATATTTTTCAAAGAAGCCAAAGAGCGTCTAATGGCCTTGAGTCAAGAGAATGAGAAACTGAAGGAAGAGCTTGGGAAACTGAAAGGGAAATGAGAAAGATCATCTGAGGACCCCAGTGGTGACTCTATGCTTCCCACGGCAGAAACAGAGCAGGAAAAGGAGCAGCTCAGGACTCAGGTGGTGCGGCTGCAGGCAGAGAAGGCAGACCTGTTGGGCATCGTGTCTGAACTGCAGCTCAAGCTGAACTCCAGTGGCTCCTCCAAAGACTCCTTTGTTGAAATTAGGATGGCTGAAGGAGAAGCAGAGGGGTCAGTGAAAGAAATCAAGCATAGTCCTGGGCCCACGAGAACAGTCTCCATTAGCACAAACAGATCTGCAGAGGGGGCCAAGAATTACTTGGAACATAAGGAGTTAACTGTGAGCCAGCTCCTGCTGTGCCTAAGGGAAGGGAACCAGAAGGTGGAGAGACTTGAAACTGCACTCAAGGAGGCCAAAGAAAGAGTTTCAGATTTTGAAAAGAAAGAGTTTCAGATTTTGAAAAGAAAGTATGTAATCGTTCTGAAGTTGAAACCCAGACAGACGGGAGCACAGAGAAAGAGAATGAGGAAGAGAAAGGCGCAGAGACTGTTGGAAGTGAAGTAGAGGCACTGAACCTTCAGGTGACATCCCTGTTTAAGGAGCTTCAAGAGGCTCATACAAAACTCAGTGAAGCTGAGCTAATGAAGAAGAGACTTCAAGAAAAGTGTCAAGCCCTGGAAAGGAAAAATTCTGCAACCCCATCAGAATTGAATGAAAAGCAAGAGCTTGTTGATCATAACAAAAAGTTAGAGCTGCAAGTGGAAAGCCTGCTATCAGAAATCAAAATGGAGCAGGCTAAAACAGAGGAAGAAAAGTCCAGATTAGCCATGCTACAACTGACACACAACAAGCTCCTTCAGGAACACAATAATGCATTGAAAACAATTGAGGAACTAACAAGAAAAGAGTCAGAAAGAGTGGACAGGTCAGTGCTGAAGGAACTGAGTGAAAAACTGGAACTGGCAGAGAAGGCTCTGGCTTCCAAACAGCTTCAAATGGATGAGATGAAGCAAACGATTGCAAAGCAGGAGGAGGACCTGGAGACCATGAGCATCCTCAGGGCTCAGATGGAAGTTTACTGTTCTGATTTTCATGCCGAAGGAGCAGCAAGAGAGAAAATTCATGAGGAAAAGGACCAACTGGCATTGCAGCTGGCAGTTCTGCTGAAAGAGAATGATGTTTTTGAAGACGGAGGCAGCAGGCAGTCCTTGATGGACATGCAGAGCCGTCACGGGGCAAGAACGAGTGACGCTGACCAGCAGGCTTACTTCGTTCAGAGAGGAGCTGAGGACCGGGACTGGCGGCAACAGCGGAATATTCCAATTCATTCCTGCTCCAAATGTGGAGAGGTTCTGCCTGACATAGACACATTACAGATTCATGTGATGGATTGTATCATTTAAGTGTTGATGTGTCATCTCTCCAAAACTGTTGGTAAATGTCAGATTTTTTCCTCCAAAAAAAAAAAAAAGAAAGAAAGAAAGTTTGTTATTTGGTGGTACATGATAACTGTATCTGACAACCAATGGAATCTTAGTTTTGACTAAATATAGAAGCTTACACTTTGATTTCTGCAGAAGGTGAGTGTGGTAGATAGAATAATTGTCCACTTAATGGTGATCCTAATCATCTTTTTCCAGAAAACCCCCCAGAATCCTCAGAGTATGTGTATAAGAAAAAATGAGACTTTGCCAATGTTATTAATATCCTTGAGATGGAGAGAAAAATCCTGGGTTCTTCATTTGTTATTATCTAATCATATGATTTCTTAAAATCAGGAAACTTTTCTGGCTGTAGTCAGAAAAGAGATACAACCACAGGAAGAAGGGTGGGAGAAATAGAACATTGAAGCGTTTGAATATGGAGAAATGAGTTCATGAGCCAAGGAATGCAGATGGCCTCTAGAAGCTGGAATGGAAAGAAACACAGACTCTCCCCTAAAAGCCTCCAGAAGTAATGGAGTCTTGCTGACACCTTAGTCTTGGCTCAGAGATACCTGTGCTAGACTTGTGACCTCCAGACCTAAAAGATTTAAAATGTATGCGTTATTTTATGCAGCTATGCATATGGCAATTAGTTATGACAGTGATGGAAAACAAACAGCGACATCTCATTAATTAATTAACTCAGAAAACAGTATTGAGTGTCAGAGAAATGAGACAGGATACCGACTCATTTAATTATGTATCATAGCAGGTATTAAAATGGAAATATGGCAAAAATGCCATGGGGTCCAGAAGATAGAGTACCTTTAATTTGAATAATAGGAAAAGTCTAAACAGAGGGAGGGGCTGGTTATTTCAAGCATTGTTTTCAGGAGAAGAAAGGAGTTAAGTTGGTTTTTTCCTTATGCCTTGCACCTAGCCTAGAGTCTGCCCTCTGGTAAATGCTGGATAGTAATTAATTAAATAATCAACCAATTACTAGAATTGATTGAGAATGCTCAATCAATTACTTTGTAGTGTATACTAAGGCTACCATGAGTAGGCTTTCCAACCACCGTGGAGATCATGTACATCTTGGTGGACAATTTCTGTACAGGACTACAGCTTCAAGCCTCACTCCTGTGTCTCTGCACTCGAAAATTTTCTCTGGATGCTGGAAGCATACCTGTCCTGTGGAAGTGATGGCAAGTGAAGCCCCTGGTTGAATCCCGATCTGGCTGTAATGTTCAATTAAAGAGATGGGAGTTTTTAGTCCCTAGTGGAAGACCACTCTGAGGTATGTTCCACAATCTTGCAGACGTTTCATAATGGGACTGAGTTTTGGTGGCCCACAGCATTTTCCTATGCATCAACAAATCAACTGCTAAACCAACTGTTTTTCTGTCTTACCTCATTTCTTCATCATGTTTCCCATGACCATCTCTTAATTGAACTACTTAACATTCATTCATTACATCTTCATTTCAAGATCTGCTCTGGGAAAACACCCAACTAAGACAATCACTATACATTTTTCTAATCCATAGAGAATTAGCAAACAGTGTTAAAATCCGTGGATAATAATGACATTGAATTACATATATTATTTAGATCTCATGTCATTGCCTCTGAAACCAGAGGGACTTGTTTCTTCGTATCTTTGGGTACCTGCAATACTCCATCATACTGCTAAAATAATTTAAGAAAAATCTTAGGACTTAAGTAGTCACCTGTTAGACACTGATACTTTGGAATATGTGACTGTGGAATAATTTGGCAGTATTAAAAGTAAAGGAAAAACATTTGGTTGTGCTTAGGAAGTAAGTGCATGCTAACAGATTGTGTTGTATAGAACTGCTTTGCATGTTAACTAAATGTGGAAACACATCTGTCCCTAAATTAGTGACTCAGGGAACTTAATCTTATTTCAGGCATTTCAAGAATAAAACATTGTAGCAGCCAACCCACTTAAGGAAATATCAAACTGAATAAATGCCAAAACCTCATTGATTGATTTAATGATCCAGAAGCTATAATTAAAGTATTACTTTTGTAATCTATTTATTACAAATAGAAAAAAAATAATCGTTACATGGTCTTCTGAAATAATTTTCAATATTATTTATAGAATTCAGAAACTAAGTGGAATCTCAAAAGGTTATTCTATGTATTTCTTTGCTGCAAGGTGGAAGTATTCATCTCATAGTATTCATCTCTTACAAGACTAATATCCCTCCAATTCTTGTAGATTCACAGGCTAAGAGCTTTTAACAACATTATAATTTTGCTTTTGAATTTCAGTAAACAGATGCTCAAATTGTATGATAAATTTATATAAGTATACAACACAATTTTTATGTTATCCCACTCTTTTGAAATCCAGATGAAATATACCACTACCCTATTTCTTATTAATGTTTTCACTGCTACACATTTTTCATGATCTCTTGACTAACGCATTGTGCCTGGAACCCTATAGAGACAAAACATTGATAAAAAACACAAAGATGCCTAATAATGATTCTTGACCTTTAGAAAAACAGCATTATTCTTCCTATTTTTAGGTAATATACAAAGTTATGTCAATGCTCCTGGTTTATGGTAGAGTCTGGAATAAACACTACATATTTGCATTCCTGTTTGAATCCTAAATTTGAAGACTAGGCAAGTGATTTTTATGGTTCTTTTAATCTATTAAAAATGACATAATAAAGAATGTCAGAAAAGGTCATAGATTGTCACTGATGTGATAAATACATTTATGATGCAGACCAATTATACCATGGAAATTTCTATATGTTTTAATGACAATAAAAAAATTTATGTTATTTTTCTCAGTGCTGATGGTGATGGCTTAGCAGTAATGGCACAGCAAACATCCCCAAAGTCTCCCTGGTCTTTGCCCTCTCCAAATCGAGTGGGGAATCACTTCCTGTGAATGATTGTGAAGAAACAATCTTCAACACACAGGCTTCATGCCAAAATGATTGACAACAGGAAAAATATCTTTTAGAAACTACGAAATGTAATTTTCCACGTCCTTCCTATCCAGTCTTTCCCTTGGGCAGCCACACATCTGCCGGCCCTACCTGCGAGGCCACCTGCTGCAGCGGGAAACAGCTTCTTTCAAGTTTCACCCTCTTTTCCTTGACAGCATCACTCTTTAGGGGCACACTGTGTATCTTACGCATTCTATCCTGGACCTTCTCCAACAAGTGCTTTGTAGAAATCTGAGATGCTTCATAGCCCAGGAATGAATTAAATTAATCTTCCTAAAGCAACTCTCAGTCCACAGGCAACGGGTGCTGTTGGATAACGGCTTCTCTCTATGGTGAAATTGCAGTCTTTTTGTATACTCCTAAGCAGATAGGGGAGCACTGACCTCATGTGCCCAAACTCTTCCATTCCTTACCCTTGCTTTCTGAGATCAGCAATGGGATAAACCACCTACACAAAGTTCTTGTGTGAGGCTTTGCTTTTGGGAGAAACTCAAGGTAACCTCCCTCCCTCTCTCCCTCCCTCCCTTCCTTCCCTCCTTCCTCTCTACCTCCCTCCTTTCCTTCCTTTCCTTACTCCCTCTCTCCCCATTTCCTTTTCCCTTTCCTTTTCCTCTTCCTCTTCCCCTTTCTTTCCCTTCCCTTTCCTTCCTTCTCTCTCTTACACTTTCTGTGTCTCATTTGTCTCATCTATCGTCTACATTAAGCATGATTAAAAATACAATTACTTCTAAAAAGTCATTCTAAAGATACATTTGTGTATTAAAGGCAAGTTTGTCCAAATCAGTAAAAGCAAATCATTTCTAATCAATAATTTTTCTTTTAGTGATGAAAGACCAAGTTTCTCTGTATTTGAGGCAAGATGACATGGTGGTTGTAATAGGAAAATCTGAGTAAGGTCAAGAATAGAAAGTACATGATAGAGTCTTTTTAACATATGAATTAGATTACAAATAGAGTATGTGCCTGTTTTTTTAAAGGACACAAATAAAGCAGGTGGAATTAAGTACACTCTCTACCCTACCTCATTCTAATAACCTGATCTCTATCATTAGTGAGCTACGTAAATACTTTTCTAGATTTCCGAGTCATATTGAAAACACAATTCTACATTATTTTCATAACAAGCACTATGGCTTGCTGCTTGTTTTTTTCATTTGGCAATATCCATGAGATACCTTTTTTATTTGATTTTTCTTCCAATCATGAGCTGCTTATTATAGCTAGTATATATGTGGAGCATCAGCCAAGTCCAGCTCAAATTAGATCACCCTTGGCATTTCCCTTCGTTAAATGTTATGTCTATAAGTTCAGCAAGGAATAGCATCCAGTCCTATACTATGAGCATACATTCCTAGCTTAATCGTCTCTAGAGCTTTGTCACTCCCATTTAGCAATGATGGAGCAGGTAGCTCCAGGGCATGAAATCATCCAGCATAAATCCATGTCCAAACTCCAGCCAGTAACCTCTGGGAAAGGTGAGATATGGAAGAGACATTCCATTTGGAACTCTTCTACTCTACAAGCTATTTCATCAATACATTGATTCAGCCTGTGCTGAGGGTCTTTGAAACAGATTCACTAGAGTGGCCTTCAGAGGGCCAGGGTCAGCTATGGGTAATGTCTTCTAATACTCCCTCTCAGTCAATGTGGGCAAACCCTAACAAGGAGAAACACTGGAAGCTGTCAGAGTTTAAACATAAATGAGTTGATGTATTGACGTTATTTGCTTGATAATGGATGATTCCCAAATCTTGAGTTTTAACTCTTTCCCTTCGTGCAGGCAACTGGGAGGGCTCAGCATTTCAGGTAATCCTGTTATGAATCTTCCCATAAAAAAAATTCATTCTCTGAAGTATCAATATCTTTCTGTGTAAACTTTGCTTTTCTTCCCCTGCGTATTATTTTCTTGAAGAGGAGCCGCTTCAAACATCAGTCTGATTTTAATAATCTCAAAGAACTGTTTTTCATACTGGAAGAACTATAACTTTTGGTTTGCTAGATATCTCAAAGAAATAAAAATATCTATTTC